ATTTATATTTATATTTTTAAACATTTTAGAAATGCCTGGTTTTCAGATGTGAAATATAAAGGAAATGTGCCAAATAGCATCTTTGATTTAAATCTTATTTTCTACCCATGACATTATTTGCTATTTTAATTACTTGATCACTTTCCTTTTTTTTTTTTCTGAATTTAGGAAATCTTTGCTAAAAACTCCAAACCCAAAGCAAACATTCATGCACATAGACATTGTCTGTGAAAGATTATTAGCTTTGCTGATAATGTAGACGTTGACGAATCAAGGACATTTATCCCCTAAAGAGGGAGTAAATGTAAACTGATGTCTGCTCATGTATGCAATATACTTCCCCAGGAAAAAGTGTGGGTGGCCTTTTCCAATAAGGAATCAAGAAATGGCTTGTTTCTTCCAGAGGTTCCTCTCATTTCATGAGACACTGGTTTACAATTTACCTTTTAAATCACTTTTTTAAAATTTTAAATTATTCTCATGTGAAACACCCACTAATTAGCCCCCTTGCCTTTGCTGGGATGAATGGACACATATACATTTATCAGAATATTTGAGATCTGCCGTGAACCAAGGGTACAGCTCAAGGGAAACGCCTTCCCTTTTTTCAGCCAGTCCCTCTCTGTCAGCTTATTGTTAATTGCACGGAGCAGCGGTCCGACTCCTCAATGCTGTCTCCTCCTTCCATGCGACTCTTCCTTGTTTCAAAGATTTCAAACCACCTCTTTGGGAATTAGGCTCTTTGTCGGCAGAAAAATTAGCTGTCTGTGGACTGAAAAGGCCTACACTAATCACGGTGCAGCATCCCCGTGTTACACCTGACAGGATTATTAGGACAAAATAGAGTCCTCTCAATCTTCTCAGCGCTGCCATTAAAAAGCCAGCCACTACACCCGTGCCAGCTTTTCTACCCAGAACAAAGACCGTCTAGACTCCCATAAAGCCCGCGTGCCTGCTGATCTTTTACCGAGCGGCATGTGCACGGGCTCCCTGCCTGCCCGTCTGCCCTTGCCGTGGTCGCCCAGAGACTGGGCTGTCGGCACTGGCGTTTGTTTTGGATCGAGATGCAGAGATTTTCAGGGCAGCGTTACTGGGCTGTGTCTTTATGTCTGAAGGGATCTGGGCATAGGAACCAAGGATGAGGTTTCTTTGCCTAGTATTAGGGAACTACAATACAGAGCACTCCATGTGCACTGGCTGCTTTTGGCTCCCTTTACCATCAGCAGAGACAACTTTTAGGGTGTAGATAATATGACTTTGTTTGGATAATTACCTTGTGGATGTGAATCACCTTCAAGTGCCTGTTTCTATGTCTATGAAAGGTGCCTGTGTAGGAACTAGTTTTAATGGAGACACCTACACTTGGCCAGATGAATCCTACGCTCAGTGGCAGAGAGAAGCAAGAATTATCTATATGTTAAGCAGGCTGATAATCGCTTCACCAGTCTGCTTTATACACAATATTAAGCATTATCCTTGCTGTTAAAGCATTCTCCTGTGCTTAACAGAACTAAAGATCACTTGATGTGGAGACTCAATTTCTCTCTTTTTTCCCCCTGTTACCTTTGATAAACCTGGTTCTTTCACAGGAAGAATGCCCTGTGCTACTCTTGTTATAAATATTCATATACAAATAAATATGATTACAATGATAAATTATGTATAATTAAAATCAGAGCAGTATTTAAACCAGATACTAAATAATATATAATGACTTCATGGAAGGTAATACTGACAAAAGGTCATTTTGGGTTTTAGGAGCTCCGAAATGCTCACAGTGAACAGCTCATGGGAATCCGTCGGGAAGAGGAGATGGAAATGTCCGATGATGACAGTAGTGACAATCCCAGTAAAAAGCTGAGAGTCGATGATTCAGGTAAAGCCAAATCCCTCTATAATGTCAAGTATATACAACTGTTGGTTTTTTAAAAAAACTTACGTATGAGAAGTGACATATTAATAGTTGATTACATAAGGCAGTATTTTATTTTTAACACTCATGAATTAGCTATTTGAATGATGCAAGATGTCTCTAGGAGCTGTCTGTCACCTTCTGTAATCTATAACAATGAAAATTCTCCAGTTCTGCCCTTGGCTGGAAGTAATATTTTTCTTTAGCGCGCTCTCTGCGATCTCGCATAACAGTATTTCATTCCATGGTTGTAACAATGTCTTATTATGAGCCCAGTAGAACTTATGTTTTGGTCAGTATTCTCTAAGCCTTGCCTTTCTTTTCAACAAATCAATAAAAACGTAGAAGCTCTCTAACAAAGATATTATACCATTTCAGCTGTGTGTTTTATGGAATTAACAGCTAAGGGTACATATTTCACAATATGGTACCGCACACTGTATTAATTTGACTCTCACTAGCTGGCTATCATGAAAGAAAGAGCAAAGGTGCTTGTAATATGTGGAAATAAAACCAACTTTTTTAGCTTTCTACAAATCCTCTGTTCTCCAGGGTAGACACCAAGAGGTGGCTCAGAAGCTGCCTGAGTTACTAACTGGTAACATGATCTGGATGGATGCTTTGCTTCATTTCTTGACATTGACTAATAAAGTTTTGAGTAGCTAACAAGGGTTTGCCTGTTTTGGCACTCGTCTTCAGAAAGAAACTTTACAGAAGCTGAAGCCATAGTATGACTGGGAACTACCAGCCAGCAGTGAGTTTTAAGAAGGTAAAGAAGGAGGGAGTAATATGGAAAGAAATTGAGAATCTGATGATAACTTTCATCTAGGCCTGTCATACAGGCACTGTACAAAGAAAGGAAAGAATTTAATCTATTCAATGGTTTCAAGTCCTTGTATGCCTGCACATAAGTGTGGATTCAAGCTTACATAGAGAAGAGCTCTTTGGCTCCTCCTGTGACAAGATGCTGTGTGAGGTCAAATGACTCCAGAAACAAAGACTGAAGGAA